GTTAGGCTGTGGGACAGTGGGAGCGAAGGAAGAACCGTTAGGGCTTCCTGTTTCGAATTTGGAGAAAACGCGCGAGGATCGCACACCAGAGAATGCGGGCGGCTGCTCACTGATGCGGAATGAGATCAGGGGCAATGCACTTGCATATATATTTTTATACATTAATATTTATGCAGCATTTTATACCGAGAAACACAAGGGAGACTGGACTGGTCATTTCTGGATTATTGGCCGTAGTCAGACACTCATACCCAACGCCGAAGTGTGGAACGCCCGCGGCTCAAACTCGTGACCTGTTTGCTAGAAGTCCACGCCTCTCACCGCTGGGCCACGAGCCTGTTGCCCTGTCGGCTTTGTTCGGAAGTATACAATGAAAGGGGGCGCTCATCAATCAATCCTGCCCTCAGAAGGTTATCCACATTTCTCTTTTAACCACTCAGAGAACTTCAACGACCCCACCACCGGACGGCACACCAATGCCATTGAGGCATACTGGAGTAGACTGAAAAAGGAAACTACACGAGGAAGGCACTGTATGTGGTCGAGCCGTGTGGGCTTACATAGACGAACTACAGTATCGTCTTGGGTTTGGCCACACTGCCATGTGTTACATAGATCCGTGGGAACTGTTCCGGTCCCATGTTGTGCATACATATCATATTTTAACGTAATTTTGTTTTGTAACAAACTGCCATGATGCGAAGTTTTGGCGTATATTCAGGTGTACTTGTGTAACGATGGGAAAGGTTGGGTAACAGCGACCAGCGTCCATGTAACCTCCTGCGATGTTCGTTCGGCCAGCCCATGTTAGGTCGTCGGGGAAAGTTCAAGTAGTGCGTGAAAGTAGGCCTGCATCCGCTGATATAGCCTGAAGGCGTTTGAGTTCACTGTTAACGATATTATTTCTAGCTAACGGATTTTTTTGGGTGTCATCTCCCGATTTGTACTCAGCCCGGAAATAAAATAAAGCTTCTTTAAAAAACCATTAATCCAACGCAACACTGCTTAAATTGATAATATCTCTGACCTCCACCGGGTGCCACTATTAACTTTCAGTGTGCATATTTTATCCAAATGTGTGGGAAGATTGCATGACTTAGACTGCCAATGCCTATTTCAATCTGCGAAAACAGGGCCGAGGACAGTCAATGACGGTTAAATTATTTTTGTCCACGTCAGTTATGATGAATTGCTTCCTCTGCTTGCCAAGGAATGGCAACATACCAGTTAGACAAAGGAACAAATGTTCCTTTCGGTTCCTGTAGGACACATTAATGACCGCAATCTCGCTCTCCGAACTTAAAGTCGGTAGCGATGTTTGATTCATCACATTGTCATTTATTTCACTTAATTCAGAATTGTACGGTCGTTGTTGTGGCTTGGACGAGATGCTGGTATTGACTACACTGTCTGTGTGTATATATAGTGGTCGTTGTAAATACAAGGACGAGTTTTCGATAACTGTTAAGTTAGTGATATTTAGAATAGGGAAGGGAGCGCTGGAGCAGAAGTAGTAAAATATCAATGCGGCGACCACGATGGCTATGAAGCGAATAATTTCAGATTACTCAGTGCAGTACTTCAAGTCAACTCCCCGGAACATTACTGATTTGGTTAAGAAACGAAGTTTCAATGAACATGCGAGTCGGAGACAGTCAACTACTGTGAAATACTTACGTTATGCCCATTGTACTTGATTATCCTCGTGACTATTCATTGAAGTTCTTATACCAGAAACCGCATAGACAACGCAGAGGGGCCCACTGAAGAGCCGAATTCCACGCAGCTACGAAACGCAACGGCAGAATAACTGCGAAACAAGTGCAAGAGGACGCAGATAGATGATGGCACAGACGAGCCCGCACGTTGGCTTTTCACTCCACACGCCCTTGTCCACACATCAAATGACCAGGTTTCGATCAACAACAACAACACCAACAACAACAACAACAACAGCCATAACGACAACAATAACCCAACAGAGGGGCCAGAGCAGGAAGGATGACTGGACAGCTAGGCTCATCACACTTGTACCTAGAGGCAACTTCAGCTCATCTACGGGCAGGAAAACTAGGTGACAGTAAACTGCCAGTGCTTCATGGACTGCAAGGGTCATGGTTTGCTTACACACGCTTACACACCATTTGACGGAAATGTTCCACAACCTTACTACCAGGAATGGGCAGACAGCAAACACCCTTTACATGATATCTTCCAACAGCAAAAGACTAACCAGGCACTTCATGCATAAACTTACTGCAAGCAAGCGTATGCGGAAGTTTTCATACCTTATACGAGCATTCACCCTACTGCTTATTTGTGGGTTACTCATGCCAGCCTTCCCAAACGAGTAAAACACCACTCAGATAGCGGTGGTTTCCAAGTAAAAATATATGACTTGTTCAGACTCTTTTCCGAATATAGGACACACCAGATTTTATGCGCGCCTGTAAATGTGAAAATATGAATTAATAGAATACAAAGGAAGTTAACCTTTCCGATTAAAAACAGGAAACGATAACGTGTGGAGCACTTTCATGCTTGAATTCGTTGGCCGCGCCCCAAATAACAACCACGTTAAGCAACCACATTTTACATCCTGAGGATAGGGCACGCTATACTGACAAGGTAGATTTTCTCCACAAGATTTTCTGTGACAACTGAAACGTGGTTTACTGAGGTCAAACTGGAAAGTCAGCCACTACACGCATATAGGGACGTAGGCTGCATATGAATGGGTGAGACCACAAGATTACCATTGCTGATCCTTAATTGGAATCTGACCGACAATGTGTTTGAGACAAAAGGTGCACTGCTGGTGTACGTTCACCTATGAAAATTCGAGCATTTTCAGCGGTCGGATGATGGCGACATGCACAACTTTCACGGTGAAAGTAGAAGGGCCCACAGCCAATTCGTACGGAACATATTCACACCATCATGGTATATAAGCAGCATTGACAAAGGAATATAAGTTTGTTGTGGGATGTTTCACAATTTGACTGCCTCGCGTATTCTACGCAGGAGACTGGAATGGCAATTTCGAGCCATTTCAGTCTAACTTGATTTGTCGGTAATGCGCCGTTGTGCAGCTGCTGGTTGAGCTCGACATAGAGTCTATAAGGCACAATGGAACGAGTGAGTTGCGTATGAAAGATAGGTGAGTGCCCCCTACGATGAAATATATAAATATATATGAAAAATAGAAGAGGCTCTTCGGAAAAGTTGAGTTGTACTCGTGAATTTTCGAGCTGGTGACACCAACCCGTCGTCAGACGCAATGGAAAACGAGGGAGAAAGTTATGTTGTCACAGAAGACCAGTTGGTGTGATAGGACAGAACAGACCACTGACGTATGAGAGAGGGGTGGGGTGGGCTCCCGACGTCATGGTAGGTCACTGAGTGAGGGGCGGGGAAGGGAGAGGAGACGGAACAATTACGGCGCACCGTGCTGGAGGGGGAGGGTGGGTGGTGAATCATTTGGAATTCGGGCGGCTGTATTCGCGGTCGTTGATGCGTGATTAGGGCAGGGGGCAGTCATTCGTGAACGTAGACCCTCGTAATGGGCATCTAAGTCAACGTGGCGGTTGATACTACCCGCATGGGAGTACCAAGCATCGAGAAATTCCCTATCACGCTTTGTGTTAGCCATGGCGACGACCTCAGTGCCATCCCAATTGAATCGGTGTTCGTACTCAAGTGCATGGGCAAAGACGAGGGACAGGGGGTCTCGCTGACGGATAAGTAGTTTGTGTTCGTTGATGCGGGTGCCCAGGCATCGACGTGTATGGCCAACACACACGCAAGATCAATTAGCACACGGCATGCGATGAATTACATTCGTTTGTTGCTCTTTGGGGATGGGATCATTGACTCGAGTTAGTGCTGCGCGTAGTGAATATGCCGGTTTGTGTGCAACGTGAATACCCATGCGGCTGAACTGCCGGGCCATTATTTCACACGTTCCACGCATATATGACATACAGTTTACCCGCGAAGAGGCAATTGGAGACAGCTTGCCGTTTCTGGACGTGAGAATACAGAAATTGACCGATGGTTGCCTGGCAACAAGCGTCCATAGTGTTATCCTCAACTATGGACAATTGAAAAAGTACCAGATACACGTAGCACACCAGCCGGCAACTACCTTACGCACACAGCTTGTAAACCCTACCTCAGCTACCTCGGGAGAAAAGGTGTTGTCTACAAAATCCCATGTTCTAGTTGTGACGCCGTTTATTGTGGCCAAACTGGGAAATCTGTCTCAATCCGTCTACATGAGCATCAGTTAGCGGTGAAGATACGCGACCATCTAATCCAGGTGGTCATGCACACATTGGACTCTGGGCATAAATTCGCATGGGAAAACACTCGCAATGTTGGCGCCTGCCAAACAAGGAAAAACCACGAATTTCTGGAGGCAATGCACTCAAATGAGGCATGCATCAACCGGCATATCGATTTAGTTGCCACATACAAAATCGTTAAGTACAGATTTAAACTGACTCAACCAATCCCGAGATGACGAACTTAGTCAATCCTGGAATCCTATGGCCAGATTCAGTCTAGAAGTTAATTGTTTCTGCACGCCCGTTGTCTGAAGACGAGCAGGGGAACCAGTCTCGAAAATTCACAATAAAATTTTGCTGTTTCCTAAAAAATTTCACCTTTCTTATTAATATATGAATGTATATGAGAAGAAAAGGCGATGTCGGGAACCATAGTTTTACTGTCCTGGCCTTTCAAAAGCAAACAAGCTTCCGTCGTCGGAGGTGAGTGTCGTATCGCGCCTTGCAGTATTTATAGGTGGGTGAAAGTCATGTCAAGAGGGGTTTTCTTAAATAGGATGTCAGGGCGGCAGGGTAGAATGGGCGGAGAGGGAGTCCTAGAGCCTCTTTTCGCTGGATGCGGGAGTGGTGGTTCAGCTTTAGTGGTCACCAGCCGCATGCACACAGGGACTGTGGTGGGCGCGGGGAGGGAGAGGGGGTGGCGGCATGTACTTAATCTTCATCGGCGGCCGGTGCAGCCGTTGCCGTCGTTCGTACCGTTGTTGACCGTTGCTGACGTCCAAGCCTGGCAATCTTGTTTACGCCGCAACGGCTGTCCGTTTTCTCGTCCAACGGACTAGTAGATGGACCGGCTGTGGTGAGCTCTGCGCCTTCGTCGGAACCTGGTTGAGAGGTGGCTGAATGTGTATCCGGAATGGACTCGCTCATGTCTGGATTCATGTTTAGCCTGGCTGCACGTCTGCTCATATGTTTACTGCGCTGCGTCCGAAGGGCATGGTAGGCAGCGTCAAGAGCCACAAAACGGTTGATGGGGGTTCTCCCCGCGTGCCAAGTCTCGATTGTTTCCCTGGACATACGGCGGTTTCGCCGGCCTAGAAATTTGGCGTGCTGAAAGGCGAACGTGTGTCCGGAATTGGCGCAGTGTTCGGCCACCAGAGACAAAGGGTCCATTCGCCTTACTGTCAACATGTGTTCTCCAACACGGTTCTGTAGTTGTTTGCCTCTTTCCCCAATACCACCCTCACCTCCGACGCTGGAAGGTTGCTGGCTTTTTAAACCTCAGAACAGTAAAACCATGGTTCCCGAGATCGCCTTACTTCTCATTAATGTCCGGCGACGCACATCTGCACTTCTCTTAGCAATGTACATATGACAGATGGGCGATTACCGATCAGGTTCTGTCGACCGTGTTGTGTCCGTCTGGTGCGACTGCATAGCCATATCTTACCAACACATCTCACCCAGATATGGTCAATCATGTCAACTTTATCTCTGCTGTTTATCACAATCTGCGCATATACCTGCGGATATATGTGCATGTTACCCCATTGTCACCTGCCCTAAACAGAATGACATGTTATCTCTCTCTCTCTATGTCTTGTTAAAGGGTGCAAAATTCTGACTTGACGGGATCTGATTTCGTAATGAAGTTACTTGTGATTCACCGTTTACTTCAGATTTTTTCTCAAAAAACACTAGGCATTCAGATAGGTGAACATGTTGTGGATATGTCAAACAAACTGCTTTATACTTTTATACTAACATACACGAAAATGCACCTGCAGCCAACTGACAAAACCACTAAACAGAGACCTTCAGAAGCCGTTTGAAGCCTGCATATGAACTACGAAGCAGATGATATCTCTTTATTCAAATTAATACACACGACAGTTCGTGGGTTTGACGGAGGTCAAAAGTACTACCCATATGAATTCGAACAGCGCGATGTAGAAATACGTGCACAACACACACACGTGCACTCCATATGCTGTGATCGCAGGAGTAGGTTTAATCCTAATTTAGCACAGAAGGTTCTTAGAGTGCAAAAGAGAACATTTGCGTTATCAGCCTGCTACACCCAATCTCAGGTGTAGACCATCTTGAATTTGAATTAGTCATCTGCGTTACGCATTCAGTCCTCGAAAAGTCTTCATTGAAATTGCTGCCAAAGAATGCCGTATTGGTTCTGTCTCTTGCACAGGGGCTTCGTGACTCCAACTGTAGGATCTGCCTCCGGCTTCTGACGAAGGTACGATCATCCGATACGCCACGCTGGCACTCATCGCACATTTAATTCACTATCCCGTCACATCGCAAACTCTATCATTGTAGGGCACTTCAATTTGAAACGGTCTAACAATTGCTATTTGGCATTTAGATGCCACCTCTATCAACACGCATTCGAACCTTCCTGCTGCCCATAAAGTCCTACGTCAGTACATTCATCAGGACCAAAAAAGACGGCCATAGACAGCTTAATCATGCCAGATATGCACGTTCCGTCGACTAATTCGCTCAAAGAGGTGTACAAATACAGTAGACCGGCATTCAGCTTAAAACACACAAGGCTGGGGCCGCCTACCTTAACAGACAACGGCAAGAAGGCAAGGACAGCTAATTACTAAAAAACGGTCGGGCTATGTTTAACGGATTGGGCTGTTTACGGAAAATGTTAGTCGACATTTTGCACAAATCCCTTTAAAAAGGGAGAGCCGATCAAGCCCACAGGTCGGCAGTGGTGGTCCAATAGTCAAAGGCATGATGTGAATGCCTTACAATCAAACCTCACCAAGTTACATATGTTAGCAAGATACGCCGGCATTATTCGTACATTAATTCGCTCAAAGCGGTTTAGACTGGCATTCAGCTCAAGACACACAAGGCTGGGGACGCCTACATTTTCAGACAATGGCCAGAATGCGAATGCAGCAAAACAATAAAAACGATCGGACTAGTTTCAACAGATTCGGCCTTTTACGCAGAATTCTAGTCGAATATTTGTACAAAACCCTTTTAAAAATGGAGAGCCGACTAAGCCCACCGATACATCAGCCACTCAACTCCACTGATCCGATGAGCCCTTCATATTGCTCAGATTTTGGACGCCGATCTCTTGCATTTTCGAATCTCAATTGTCAGCATCTCCTGTGTCAGGATCTGCAAGCCGTTATGATGCCGCCCAGTCATCCTCATCGTCACTCTGACCCGCTGTGACCTTGCTGTTGGTTAGAACTCTGGTTAAGTATTTGTTTGTATCAGGGGTTTGGTAGTACGCATTGGTGCAGGTCCAACCGTACCAGCCAGCTGCAACCTCTCCCCCCTCCGGTCTTCTTGACTATGTCTTGTTGACGATTTTGGGTGAGGAAGGGGGAAGGGAGGAGGAGTGCGGTATAAGCAGCGCAGATCTACACTAAACTAATAAATAATAAACTAATTCATTCACATGCCACCGTGGCAAACTCAACTTATTCTTTAGCACATGACGTACACGGTCGGAAGCAGTGGTCTAATAGTCAAAGGCATGATGTGAATGCCTTACAGTCAAGCATCACCAAGTTACATATATTAGCAAGTTACGGCAACATAAAGAGGATATCTGAAGATATACTCACTGATTAGAGAGTAAAAAATCCCTGAGTATTTCATAAGCACATGCAAAATGACGCTAGATTTGACATAGATCGTAAGGACCGTCTACTGCACGACACTCAGTACTCTAAACCTATCTACTGACCAAGTCGCTGAAAATCAACCTACGACCATTAAGAACATTCGGAATTGTTTATTGTTAAGGATTTCAATTATGCGGCAACGATTTGCGAACAACATGATCGATTTGCAATGCAGAATGATTCTGCATGATTTCCCGTTTCGCTGTTGCATATTTGATCTCTTTATGATTAAAGGTAAGTTTGTTGACTATAAGAACCATCTCACTGGTGAAAACATATATGCAAAATTTTGAAAGCGAATCACATTCGGAGACGATAGTTTGCAGTCATCGCAAGTAGATGGCAACTGCAAAAATATACCAAAAATCAGCGTGACTGTAAATACCACATGTTATTCAGCGTTTACAATGCTTAGAAATTGAATACCGTTCCCTCATTAAAAGCAACATATCAGAGCCAAATTCTGCAAAGATGGTTATTTGTGAAATTTGAGTATTGTTTTAAAGAAGGAGACACAATCGATGGGCCAAGAGTTTCATTAGCCTGGCGTTTCCAATTCCTGCTCAAATCCATCATCAGAGACAAAAAAGCAAAAATGGGTGGTTGTTGCACAAGGGGCTGCGGTATTTATAGGATGTAGTAGCCATGCTGCCGCATACTTTTGAACATTCACGGCTCCCCCCTTCATCCGGGATCGTCGCACTTGGTGTGATCACTGCTTGATGGCCGACTGTCGAGTCGATAATTGCTGCAATTTCATCACTTGCGTTGGATGTTGGCGTGATGAATGCTCGACCATCTGACGTACCGACCCCGGTGTTGGGAAAAGTGTTCACATCTGCGGTCCCCGCATGACTTATTACTCGGCCTATGCGAAGTTTTAGCACGGAGTATTGAGTGGGAATATCGTTGCACTTGTTGATGGACTGGGGGCCAGTAATCCATGATTTCAATAGCTCCCGGTTCACGCGGTTGTCAACTCTTGCTAGAATTTCGGTCTCATCGAATTGGAATGTGTGGCCGGATCTCGTCGAATGAGCCGCAACTTGAGAGCTGGCGTCATTTCTGCGCACCCCTGCCGCGTGTTCGGCCATTCTCGTTCGGAGCTGTCTTCCGGTTTGTCCGACGTATTTGCTTTGTCCGCAACTGTACCAGATCCGATAAACCACTCCAGCCGTTTCTAGCCGTGGCAGTGGGTCTTTCGACTTCATGTCCAGACGCCTGATTATTGCATCTTGTCTCTGTGCAACTTCAACTCCTATTGGTACGAGAAGGCGGCCGACAGCTTCAGAAACGTTCTTGACATACGGAAGAGCCCAGCAAGATTTGGTGTGCGTGCGGTTATGCCTTTCGTCCCTTTTGCGTATGCATCGGTCGACGAAGTTGCGCGGGTAGGCATTGGCTTTGAAGACCCGTCGGAGGTATTGTAGTTCAGCAATTTTGTCTTCTGGCTCACTGCAGTGCGTTTCGACACGCCGATGGAGCGTCCTTACACAACTGCGTTTGTGGCTGGTTGGGTGGTTACAGTTGAAGTTCAGAACTTGCATCGTATTAATCGCTTTCCTGAACACTTTGGTTTTTAGTCCACCACAAACTTTGCGGCATACGAGGACATCCAGAAGGGCCCGCTGATTGTTCTCTTCCTCCTCCATCGTAAATTGAGTATCTCGGAAGATGCCGTTGAGATGTTCCTGGAATGTCAACACCTGATCCTGTTCGATGACGACGAAGGTGTCATTCACATACCGGGCCCAGAATTTCGGTCTATCGTGTTGGAAGCTCAGCGACTCTAACCGTTGCAGAACCGCTTCGGCGATGAATCCCGAAATCGGCGAACCCATTGTTGTGCCCTTCGCCTGTTCGCAGAATGTCCCGTCGAAAGTGAAGTACGTCATGAGACAGACCTTCAAGAGCTGAAGTACTTGGGTGTGTCCTAGACGGTTCTCAGTTTCATCGTATTTGCTTTGTAGTAGCAGCTCAATTGTCTCGATCGGCAGGTCCTGGGGAATATAAGTAAAAAGGGATGTAACAACAAAATATATCATGACCTCATTTGGATGGATGCTTACCCCTTTGAGTTTGTCCAGGAATTGTGCTGACGAAGAGACAGTGGTTTCTGACTCAGCTGTCAGGAAATTAAGACGCCGGAACAGCCGCTTAGCCAGTCCGTACGTTGGAGTCTCTTTTAGCGTCACGATGGGTCGGAGAGAAGCGTCGACTTTGTGCACCTTTAGGAGGGCATAGACTCGGGCTAAAGCCGTATCTTGGGGTCTCGCCATGCGTGTGTCAGTCAGTGTTATTGCACCTGAGTTCTCCAAGGCCAACAACGTAGCATTAATTCCGCGTGTCAGCGCCTTTAAAGGGTTCGTTGCACATGGGACATAGATCTGTCGGTCCTCCAGTAAACCTTTGGTTTTTTGAAGGTAGTCTGTCCTGTCCAGTACAACTGTGGCGCGTCCTTTGTCCGCTGGCACGATGACCAGGTAGTTGTCGGCCTTGAGCTATCTAAGCGCATTACGATCGACCTTGGAAAGCACTTCCCGCGGCCTGTGGACCATCAGGAGAGACGACACTTGGTGTCGGATGAGCCTGTTGGTCTCCTCTGTTGCCACCGTCCGACAAAGGGTTGATTCGACTGCTGCAATCAAGTTTGTTTACGATAAGAACAATCTCACTGGTGAAAACAAATATGCAAAATTTTGAAAGCGAATCACATTCGGAGACGATAGTTTGCAGTCATCGCAAGTAGATGGCAACTGCAAAAATATACCAAAAATCAGCGTGACTGTAAATACCACATGTTATTCAGCGTTTACAATGCTTAGAAATTGAATACCGTTCCCTCATTAAAAGCAACATATCAGAGCCAAATTCTGCAAAGATGGTTATTTGTGAAATTTGAGTATTGTTTTAAAGAAGGAGACACAATCGATGGGCCAAGAGTTTCATTAGCCTGGCGTTTCCAATTCCTGCTCAAATCCATCATCAGAGACAAAAAAGCAAAAATGGGTGGTTGTTGCACAAGGGGCTGCGGTATTTATAGGATGTAGTAGCCATGCTGCCGCATACTTTTGAACATTCACGGCTCCCCCCTTCATCCGGGATCGTCGCACTTGGTGTGATCACTGCTTGATGGCCGACTGTCGAGTCGATAATTGCTGCAATTTCATCACTTGCGTTGGATTTTGTCGTGTTAAATGCTCGACCATCTGACGTACCGACCCCGGTGTTGGGAAGAGTGTTCACCTCTGCGATCCCGGCATGACTTATTACTCGGCCTTTGCGAAGTTTTAGCACGGAGTATTGAGTGGGAATATCGTTGCACTTGTTGATGGACAGGGGGCCAGTAAACCATGATTTCAGTAGCTCCCGGTTCACGCGGTTGTCAACTCTTGCAAGAATTTCGGCCTCATCGAATTGGAATGTGTGGCCGGATCTCGTCGAATGAGCCGCAACTTGAGAGCTGGCGTCATTTCTGCGCACCGCTGCCGCGTGTTCGGCCATTCTTGTTTGATGCGGGAGCGTTGGGGGAATGGGAGTTCGGTAGATGCGGCGCAGTTCTACTCTCACTATAAACTAATTCATTCACATACCACCGTGGCAAACTCACCTTGCATTGTAGCGCACGTCGTACTTCGCCGGTTACACTGGTCCATATTTTAAAGGGATGATGTGAATGCTTTACACAAAAACCTTCCCAATTTGCATCTATTAGCAAGAAACGGCAGTAATTAGATGATATCTGAAGATATACCCGCCGACTGGAAAACAAAAAATGAATGCGTATTGCATATGCACATGCACAATGACGGTAGATTTGACTTAGTACCCAAGGACCGCCTACTGTACGACACTCTGTCATCTAATCCCACCTACTGGCAACGTCACTGAATATCAACGTACAACCCTCAAGGACATTGGGAATTGGATACTGTGAAAATGCCAATTATGTCGGTATTGCCTTGCTATGCAGAATTCTTCTGCTTGATTTCCCCGGTTCGTTGTTGCATAGTTGATCTCTTTCTGACGAATGACGAGTTTCTTTCGATAAGATCTATTCCACTGGCGAAAGCTGGGCTGAAAACTTGAAAAAGTGAATCGCGTTCGGAAACGTTATCGTGTACTCATTTCAGGTAGATAACAACTCAACTCGAAAAATATACCCCGAAATTCAGCGTGACTGCAAACATCACTTATTATTCACCGTTCCCATTGTTTTGCAATTTCCTTCCGTTCCGTGACTAAATGTACTCTAACCAGCGACGCAATGCTCAAGGTTCGTTATTTTTGGAAGTTGAATCTGGTTGCTTTTTTATTTACCCTGATGACATTTGCCAAATGGCAGCGTATGATAATAAATTTGACAGCAATGTTGCTATGTTCTGTGTCTTCTTGCTGTCCGTCCTGTGTGTTGCTGTTGTCGTAAATCCTCTCCGCCGACACTCAACGTACGGCACGTCCAAAGTCGACGTTGGTCCGCTAATTCCGATCGTATTGCTAAAAATACAATGCGGGAATTTGAAATTACGGACAAAGGATTAACTAGTCACCAATTATACGTGTCTTATGTGGATGTCACTTTTGCTGTCATTAAATTATTTTGCCTTGAAATACAATAAAGTATTTCGACCGTCATGCTGCATGATGTCCACCGCCTGATCTGCTTTTTACTGAGATCTGGGACGGTGACTCGCGTGCGCATTAGGTTAAAGTGATAGTAGACTTGGGCCTGGAACCGATGTCAAGACAGAGTCATAAAGACCAGAGGCGGAGGAGGGCGATTATTGATGATAACACTGCCGAGCCTGCACGTCGGCCTCCCACTACACACGCCCTGGTCCACCCAGCAAATGATCAGGTTCCGACCAACAACAGCAACAGGTTTTATGACGATAACTATACCCGAACAGGGGCCAGAGCAGGAAGGATGACTGGGCAGCAATTCTCATCACCCGTGTACCTTGAGGAAACGTAAACGCATCCGCGGGCAGAAAAACCAGGTCTCAGGAACATGCCAGCGCCTGGCAGGCTGAGAGCGCCATGTTTTGTTTATACTGACCTAGCACACGCTTACAGATCATTTGACCGAAATGTGTAGCAACCTTACTAACACAACACTACCAGGAATGTGGCCTATGTTCTAAACAGGGCAGACAGCATACACCCTCTCATTGATACATTACTACAGCAAAAGTCTGACCAGCCGTTTCATGAATAAATTCACTGATCTGGATCTAATATACCTAAGAAACCGTGTAACCAACCACAACATCAATTCGGTTACGATCGCTCCTGAATTAAGTCATTTTTGCCGGTCGTAGTAAGGCGTCATCTCTGAAATTTGCGGATATTTTATTATTTCTATTGTAAACATCCGTCGTCATTTAAGTGTCAATTGCCTTGTTTGTGCTATTAAATTGCCAATGTTTTGCAGAACGTGTTCTTACTCATAAAAAGCCACCCGACGTTCCAAAATACGTCTTTGTTTCCATAAGACAACTTGAATGATGTTTTTAAATTAATCACCGAACAGCTTAATTAAACAATGATCCAATAACTTCGGAATGCGGGCTTTTGAAAGAACTTTTACTAGGCCGCACGCAAGGCCATTCTCTGTACAAATGACTTCTAATGTTGCATGAATTCTTCTTAATGGTTTTCTATGCCCTTAAAACTTCGATCATATTTTATGCAAAGCATGCATTAAAAATTCAGTTTTCCGCTCAGTCAGTAAAAAATTTCCATTCACTTTTTAATGTATCCACGAGAATAGGGAAACATTTGGATTTAAAATAGTTCCCACTTACAACATCTTTAAATATGGTGCACAATAGTAAGTTTTAAAAAAACTGCATAAGTAATATTTTCGAAATGAAAAATCTTTTCGAAACTTTCTTTAAAACTCCACCAGTTAGCACGTCTGACATATATATTCGGAGAAAATAAGTTCTTTGGAAAGTTAAACAAGTTTAATTGTAAATTTTCTACTTTTGTTCCCCAAGCCGTCCTCATTCGTGAAGTAAATATGCCGAGTACTTTGAAAAAAAATAAAGAAATATACAAAGTAAAATTTCTGAACAGTAAAGCTTAGCTGTTGGTAAATATACGAGGATGCGGAAAATCGAGTAAAATTCCCGATATGCTGAAAAACTGATATATACCACATATAACATATCGAATGGTAGAGGCCGCATACCGGTAGATTTTAAGAATTTCACTAGTCCCTTTGTGCCTTAGGGTTTTTTCTCGAGTCCAACGGGCATCTTCACAACCATGCGTGATATGTAGTCAAAATACCATTACAGAAAACATAATGGAGCCCGGTGAGTGCACTCCTATCATTGTATATATCCGACCGCCAACGATAGCAGAACGACCCCTCGATTCGGTATTTCTGTGTGGTGAAAGCATAACCAACAGATCGCGGGATGGAGCCCAGTTGTTTCACGCTTTGGGGTTGCGTATGACTGACTGACGACAGCCAATAAGCAGAAATGAACATTCCAGTCTCATATCCTTGTTGGTAATGTTATTCTGCCTATTGTAGGCGCCGCTTTGTGGCTGCTCTTGAGACTCGACTGAGAGCCCCAAGGTACTACAGGACAAGTGAGTCCACTAACACAAATGGGGGGAACCCTTTTATCATTACACATAAATATATGCGTGATGTGAATAGTGCGTTCTCGCTGAAACATGTATAGAACGTGCTGTGTTGGAGTTCAAATGGGATCTTCCTGTAGGCATTAGGCTACGCTGTCAATTGTCAGGTCATGCAGAATTGAAAAAAACAGGGAAACAAGAACGCACGATAGGATGCATTCTTTAGAACTTACTTCAAGGGTTTCAATCATTTATACGGAACTCTGTGAATTAGTGATGCCGCATTGCAATCCATAAGTGAGTTGTTTTAATTTTATGTATAACCATTCGGCAAGGTTGTAAGTAGGGGATCCAATAAGCGGCGCTCTGACGGTCAGCGGCGTCCCTGCCTGTGCAGTTTTCGAAGACTGTACGTACGTGCGATACTGAGGTCAATAAGGCCCATACATCTGCTGTCAGTGAAACTTACGGGCTTTCATCCCGCAAGATCATTCGCTTTCGTCTTAATATGCACGGCCTGCTTTTTCGCCGGGTCTACAACGGATGGTGCATAGGCTTCCCGGTCATCGAAGATTTCGTTTGTCTTGTTGACACAGTCAGCCTTGGGGACGATAACGAATGCCCCACCATTGTCGGTAGAGATTATAACTATTTCGTCATCTGTCTTCAACGATCGCAA